TGAGATTGCAATAACCCTTTGGGACGGCTCCCATGCAGTTGATTTCAATTGAAATTCTTCTTATGATCTGACATAGGCGTTTCAGGAGTGACTTGCCAGTTCGTGTGGTGAGAGATACTTGATGATGCCAGACTGAGATCAATTATAGTCTTGCTTCGGGTAGTTACGAACGTGGGTTTGCTGCTCCGATTGGGAATCTCTAGATTTGTACTTCTCAGATATTCAAGTAATGACTTACCCCTAGGATTGACGTTAGTGCGCCCCCACTCTATAATGAGGTGTTAATTGCTTTCTCAGTGGTCTATCAGTTCTGCCATCTGGGAGGTAGGTTGACAGAATCTGACGGGAGATATACTGATGCTATAACTGTTTTAGCTTATGTTACAACTTAACATAATCGTGATCACACGGACATAAATACATGTTTGTCATGCCGTATATGAAAGAAAACGGTTCCTTTTGTTCCTCCAAGGCCAGAAACCCTTGATTTAACGACCCAGGGTTCTTGTGTCCTGTCCTGGCTAAAGTAATATATCAGTCGCCCTACAGTGTTGCAGGTTTATTTGTATAAATTTCTTTTTCGTACTTATGTATCGAGGCAATACCTATCTATCGCTTCACGCCCCAAACTCACCCCAGCACCAAATCGGCCCGGGTGAATTGCTAATTCTGGAGCAAGCACTGACCACAGGTTGACTTGGGGGCCTGGGCGGTGATGCTTCCGTAGCTTCTTACAGCAGTTGTTCTTGTAGCAGCTGCTGGTGTTGTGGTGGTTACACTGACGTACTCTCCACCTCAAGTTAATGCCGTTTCGGCACCAGGGAAAATTATGAGTAGAAGTTGTTTCTTTGCTATGTGAAAGTAACAAAATAGCTTTTCCTTTTGTATTACAAGCACTAACTAGAAATTATAGGTACATTCATCACAGTGCGTTATTGCAGCATTGTACTTCACAGGGGTTTTACAGTTGTTATTACTAGAGTTCCACTTACTCACTTTGGTCAAATAGCTCACTGAAAGTCCAACTAGAATTACCACCATGGTGCTGACAAAGGGGTTGTACCAAAAAGACAGTCGGAGAAGTACAAATGGTTTTTCCGAGTCTAATACCGTGCTAAAATTGAGCATTATACCAGCTAAAAGCATAATTCTGGCCTTACCGTGCTGTTGTAATATTAACATGCGCATTACATCCTTCAAGGGAGATTGGCTGGGCAAAGTTGCCAAGTCTACCTTTAAATGAGTGCCACTGATTCAGACCTGCAATGGTACCAACCACCAAGAAACTGGATAGTGCTCCAAGGAAGGCGCCCTAGGATTTTTCTTTGTACATGAGTGCTACATCTGATGGCTCACCTTTGAGTTGGTAACTGGTGCAATAACACCTAGGGCAAAGAGACCAACAATTATTCCGTAAATTAATCCTATGGAGGCGTTCACAAATGCCAATAAACTTCCCATGTGATCTACAAAGAAGGTTAATCCGATGCAGATCGCACCAGATGTTATCACAATCAGCTTCAAAATGCGACCTTCTTTGTCTTGTTTTGCTTCCTTGGAGATAAGGAGTGAGACCAAGTCACTGTAAACCGTTGCCGCTAGTGAATTGAACGTGGATGAAAGTGTGCTAGGAAGAGCGATCATTTTCAGGATTTAAGGAGACGCCTATACCTTAACGCAGCACTGAAAACTCCACCAATAAAAATTCCTGGTAAAACGGGAACAGTTTGACTAATATCCATGACGAAATAAGGTAAGATTTGATCGACTCGAGTTACCTTGCCAGTTGAAATTGGGTCGCATGTAGCATATTTTGCGTAAACTGTAATCCCAATCAACACGGCCAGAACGTTGACCACGATCAACCCGCAGCACTGAAAAAACATCACCCTGGGAATGTGAAGTAGTTGCGTTTGCTCAAGTATGAGGTACCTTTTGATATCGCCCGATTTGGGGAGTGAAAGGTACTTTTGAACGGCAGCGGGTTGCAACGTGAGATTGTAAATCCAGTGTGTCGCAAATCCTATAGCCATCTGCCAAAATCCATCGCGTTGCGTAGGGTCCATACTGAAACTTTAATTATTTTAGTAGGTATTATAGATCTGTTCAATGAGGATTTACTTGAAATCCAAGCGATGACCTCGCGAAGCCTTTTTGTACACCTCACCGATTCCTCCTACTGATTGTATTCCAAAAATGAGCACTGCAACAATTGATGTAATCGTCCCTAGGAACTGAAACACATCCGTCCAAATTACCGCTTTAAAACCCCCAACGCATGTATATAACACGCAAGTAGCGCAAACAACTGGGATAATAACATGTGGATTAATGCCGGTTGCTAAAAAGGGGAGAGTATTATATGATTTAAACTGGCTGTTTACCTTGCGAAAACGCTATTGCTGGAATATACGCCACCACTGGACTGTACAGTAAGATCTGCAGGGTATACATGCACGTAGCCATGACTTTGAGTTTTCGATCAAACCGCAATTCGAAGTACTCAAAAATAGTAGGGCCCTGCAACTTTAATATCACGGGTATGAAAACGAAATAACCCACAATGGACGCGATCACGATCGACAGACACACCCATACGGTATTTGCGCCGTAAACATAAACATCGGAGGGAACTCCTAAGACCGTCAGTCCGGAAATGTAACTGAAAATTTAGCGTAAATTTGCAAAATTGTATGCATTCTCACCTTGCAACGAGCGACACTGAGATAGGAATAACCTGCATCTCTCGACCGCCTAAAAGATATTCGTCTGTAGTTTGAGACTTTTTCGAAAATCCGAAATAAATCCCGATACATAGGCTAACGATTATCGTCCCAGCAAATAAAATATAGTCGATTGTTGCAAACATCTCGAGTTCAGTATTGTACTGTACTGTTGCGTTGTGAGTGTTGCAAAATGCAGAAGTGGAGCGCTCGTGATAAAAAAAGTGTCGGAATCACAAATTGCAGTGCGTTGCAATCTTGCATTATTAACAGACTATTTTAAAGTGGAACTCAGTGGCGCAACAAACTTGTTGCTCTCCCCCCCCCCTTTTTTTTTTCTCACTTGGCGTTGGCGACACCGAACACCGCACCGGTGGACAATTGGGCATTCGGAGATTAATTTAAGACGATATAGACGCTCCAATATTTCGTATTGTCCTTTTTTGTGTTAACGTAAAGAAATAAAGTGTGAAAAACTTAAATTAGTTTACATTTATACTATTTTAAACTAATGTGCAAAACTAGGTAAATAGGTATTACCTTAGTGTAAATAATAGAATTACACTATGGTATTACTAAATTGTCGAAAGTCACGTACTAGTGTAAGCGTAAAGATAAAACCAAAAGATTCCATTTTGCAAAACAACAAAAAGGTAATTTACATTATTAGCCAGGTAAGTGAGTTTTTTACTGGCGATAGGAGAAGTTGACTAGCGAGCCGTTAGGCGAGCTTGTCATCTCCTAGAGCCAGTAAGAACTATTACCTGGCGTATAATGTACAATATTTTATTTGTTACTCATTTGTAAACAATAGTAAACGTAAATAATTAGTTGATAAATTGATCTTGAAGAAATGTCTAAAATATCATGTTATCAGTAGTAATAACCCAAGGACATTGATAATTGTACGAAAAAATTTCATAACAGACTTCAAAAGCTTGTTGCTTGGAAACAGACCGAGGCAGTAGGCGGAAATAAATACAAACACAATAGTTATTTATATAACAAGAGCGGGAAGTTCAATTTCGCGCATTGAGACTGAAGGTATTTTGACGAGGCGAAGCCGAGTCAAAATATCAGTCAAAATCGCGAAATAACTTCGCGATTTTTTCTACAACTGAACCGATTGTTAATTAAATTTGCTGTTTAAGTTCAACTTTGTCACGTGCACGAAATACTTTTTTTCACTGTTGACGATTTCGCGCACGTTGTCAATAGCAACCTTACTTATTAATTAAAAATTATTTATTTAAAGGTACAATTAGTAAATGAACAATTCGAAAAATTAAACGAAGACCCAGAGGTGTTAGTTTCAATAACTGACGACGATGTATTTTCACGCATGCTGTTAATAATTAGGTTGTGATGTTCTTGGTCAATATTTAAGTAAGGTTTTATGGAGTTAGCGTTGTTGTGGCCTGTAATCTTTATGAGCTGCTGCTCTTGAACCCCATTTTTTGCCAGTTGACTAACTGCGGTTGATCTGTTCGAGTGATTTGTAGGGTGGAATTCATAGACATTACTTAAGTTAGACTTACACTTTACTAAGTGCACACTTAGTTTTGTTTAAGTGGAACTTATATTTACTGCTAGTATCTGTCCGAATTTCGCGCGTTACTATAGCTATAATGTCATGCGTCACCTTAACTATATCTTTGAATACCACTAAGTACGCGCTAAGTATGAGTAAAGTGTAAGTGTAACTTAAGTAATATCTATGAATTCCACCCGTAATCTTTTTCTCTTGAGTATTTAAGCCAATTGCTTCTGCAGATGATTTTGTCCAGTGTTGAATTGTATTTTTCCCTATATAGGCATATTGTCATACCAGTGATCGTTTTTCGATTTCCAGTGACGATTTGGTCTTAAAAACAATCTGTTTGTTTTAATATTTGAGCCTCTTTTTGAAATTAATTTATTATACAATCTGACAGGACAAATGTTGCGTCATCGTTTTTCACTAAAAATTTGCTTTGTGTGAACATTTTTGATACACCTTGGCAAGTCTTGCTAAATATAGGATTATATTCAATTCGATTTGTTTCAGACCCATCGTTACTTGTTTCGATACAAAAAAAGTCCGTTAAGCATGAAGCAGCTTCCCCACCTCTCCAAGCTAATTCTATCGCGGCTATATAGTAGAATTTCCGTTGCAGCCCTTCAGGAGTTTCTTCATCCCACAAATTGATCATGTTTGTTACTTCTGTCAAACTTAATGCTACAGAACTTTGTTTTCTTTTAGTAGGATCAGACTGCAGTTTTCGCCGTGCTCAATCGCGGGCCGCTCGCGCTTGTGAAATACAACACTTTTGAACGGGTCAATTATAACATTACTTTCCTTAAAATACTTTTCTTGTAAAAGCTTACTTGTTACATTCCACATAGTTTTGACCGAAGCTTCTTTAAACTGCGTACCATCTTTTCTTCTCATATTCACGGCCCAATCTTTTAAAATTGACGCCAATTCTTCTACCGTTCGGCTTCCATCTAATTCATAATTTCTAATACTGCAAAAGTCCATAAAAGCTTTCCAAACAAATTTCTTACTGTATACAGTATTTCTGGGTGTATTTGACTCGATAATTTCGTTTCAAAATTTCAAAATTGACATTCATGCGTATCTGTAGCAACGAAGTGAAAACAGCCCATGGGATCTGTTATCAGTGTAATGTTGCTGTAATTGGATATTTTTATTCACATGACCTCAAATATACAAATTTCATTGGATTTCTAAGTAAGCAAAAAATTTTCCATGTAACAGAGACTTCGCATTAATTCTGGCCAATGAAATTACTAGACTACTAACTTTTTACAGTAATTTTTACACGTCAGCTGTCAGTTTTACAAGTCAGTAGCGTTTAATATGACGTTTACCCGTTTGCGTTTTGTCTTGTTAATCAACGTTTACAACTGAGTAACAAATAATAGTATTTTATATTATTAGCCAGGTAAGTGAGTTTTTACTGGCGATAGGAGAAATTGACTGGATAGCCGTCAGGCGAGTCCGTCATCTCCTAGACCCAGTAAAAACTATTATCTGGCGTATATTGTACAATATTTTATTTGTTACTCATTTGTAAACGTAAATAATTAGTTCTTAAATTGATCTCGAAGAAATGTCTAAAATATCATATTATCCATGTAAAAGAGACTTTGCATTAAATCTGGCCAATGAAATTACTAGATTACTAACTTGTAAAATTTTTACACGTCAGCTGTCAGTTTTACAAGTCAGTAGCGTTTAAAGATGACGTTTACCCGTTTGCGTTTTGTCTTGTTAATCAAAGTTTACAACTGAGTAACAAATAAACATTTTTACAAACGTTGTAAGTTTTAATCAAGCGTTTGCCGCTTCGGACAGGATATAAATTTAGAAAAGAAATATTTGTTAAGTAACTATCAAGAGAACCGCTATTCGGATTATATCTTATTTTGAAAATTATCATCTTGCTTTTTACCAAAAAACCAATGTTGCCTTGGAGTGAGCGAATATCTACCTATCTTATATATAGGTAATCTAATAATTTAAATTATACTTAACATGTTTTTTTCAAATTTTTCTCAACTAGGGTGACCAAGGAGGGGTCCCCATAGGCCCCCCCCCCGCGCAAGCTTCATGCTGCCCGGGCCCCAATTACGCCCCTGCTGGGGCTCCTAATGAAATTGCAGTAACCAGAAAATAGTCAAGGTGTTTCTTTTCGAATTTATAAAATCGTTCTATGCAGTTCAGACGTAGAAATAGCTGGTTACCTACACCCTATATGGCAGAAGAAGCGACATCATTTGCTTGTAGAAATTCGATTCCAGTACTTTCAAAAAAATAGCGACAATCGAAATTGGTATGAAATTATGTCGACCTGGGTACCCTTCTTGGGTATTAGAATGACAAGTTTCAGTAACTGAGGAAACTCTCCAGTGTTATTAGAGTAAAGATGGCCGTCAGGGGTTCGACGAATAAACCAGCATTATGCTTCAAAAAGTTAGCATTTAAACCATAAATGTCACGGCATTTGCTGTTAAAAACTAAGTAATATTGAAAATTGGACACTGATATACAGAGCGATCATTAATTATTGCATGTATACCGCTCTTATGAAATATAACATTTGCCGCAACACAAATGATACTCCAGTTATACTAATAATAACCTTAAAATGTTTAATAAAAGCAATTATGTAAATAACATTTATTAGTTTTTTTTTTTTTTTATTAAAGGCATCGACAGCTAAGGTCATTAGCCTATTATATGTCTAACCTACGCAAAACTACTTATAGTTTTCCGAATACATCAATTTCCTTTAAAAAAGCTATTAATTTTCTGATATTTCCAGCTGTTCGGGTCATTTCTAGTGGGTTCGCAAGTAGCTCAAAACGTCCCCTACTGATCGCCAACTGGGGACACACATGTAAAATGTGTTCGACAGTGATCTGTTCCCCACAGTAAAGACATAGGGGAGGAGGCTCACCACGTAATAGGAATGTGTGAGTGAGATCAGTGTGGCCTATCCGCACACGATGTATTTTTACTCGTTCCCTTCGAGTTAACTCTAGGGGCGGTTTCCATCTTTTCAGGACACCTACTGCCGCTCTTAGAGCCATTTTTAGACCTACATGTCTTAACTCGCTGACATCTATACGATCTCCTCCTGCAGCTTGTTTAGCTGCTGCATCGGCCGATTCGTTACCCTCTATACCTACATGGCCGGGTACCCACGCAAATACGATTCTCCTATCCATCTCACTAAGATCCTTATATAGGGCCTGAATTCTCTGTATAAGAGGATCACGGGAGAAAAGGTTTCTTAAACTGACAAGGACACTGACGTTATCACATGCTATTAGAAATCCGCGTCCTTTCTGAAAAGAGGAGTAGAGGAGAGCTTGCCACAACGCATACAACTCTGCTCCATAACTTGAATACATGGGAGAAAGTGTCCACCCATACGACGAATCACCGACGCATATGGCACTACCTGCTCCTGAATGAGTAAGTGATCCATCTGTATAGATCGCAGTTAATTCGCGATATTGGTCCAGCAAAGCATTGAAAGAATTCCTAAATATTGTCGGCGACGTAATCTCCTTCCGGTACTCAG